TAAAAAAAAAACAAATCATATTTTTATTTGAAAGAACGATTGAGTGACAGACACACTGTGGTTGCTCAGTCTTGAATATCTGCATGGGTTTTTCTCTTAGAAATAAACAAATCAAGATTGTCACTTCAAGAAAAACAGCTGGTAATATTTTAACAATGTTAAATTTTTAACTTACATGCAAAATAAGAATACTAGAAAATATGTATCCCAATGTGTTAAATCTGTCCTGATGAACAGGGCATGGTGGTGGCTCATGACTATAATCTCATAACTGTGAGGCTTGGGTGTTGTGGGCTATTTGTACACTATGTGAAGGTGCATTGCTATGATTGGTGTAATAAAAAGCTAGGCAGGAAGTGTAAAAGGAACTTCAGGACAGAGGGAGAACTCAGGGAAGAAGAAGGCAGGGTTGCCAGCCAGAGGTGGGGGAAGCAGTATGAGCAGTACGGAGAGATGAGGTGACAAGCCCCATGACAGAACATAGATTAAAATAAATGGGTTCATTTGCATTATAAGAGCTAGTGGGACAAGCCTAAGCTAAAGCCGAGCTTTCATAATTAATAACTCTCCGTGTCGTTATTTGAGAGCTGGCGGTACGGAGAAAGACTCAATACACTTGTGCAAGATTGCCATGAGCTCAAGGCTAGCCTGGGGTACAGAGTACTCTGCCAATAAATAAAGAAATAAAACTTGGCAAAGAGAATAATAAAGCTGGCGGTAAAGCGCTTGCCTAGCATGCTAAGACCTTGGAGTCAACCCCCAACCCTGCTGAAAACAAGCAAGCAAGCAAACGTTGTAGGAAAATGTCACTGAGAGCAACACTTTTGGTCACATCCAGTAAAACAGACAGTATTTGGAAGGCCTGCATAATTCAGTTAATCAATAAATTCCAAATGGCCAGTGGGTGCTGCTATAAAAGCTGCATGGGCCGAGGAGCCATCTAATACACAGTTAGATTTTAATATAACAGAAAAGGAAAAGTTTATTGACATGGACTTAGAATCTACATTACAGTTTTGTTTAATTACCAGTTGAGGAATTTTGGAGTGGTAGCAAAGACTAGCCTCAGTTATCTGGAAGAACCATTTAAACATGCATTGTTTTATAAATCTGTCCATAGCTAGCTAGACAGACAGACAGATGATATCATGTATATCTAGTCTATCTGATCACTGAAGCCAGATTTTTTCCATATCTCTCATCAAATCACATCAAATCCACAGACTGTGGAAGCAAAAATGAGAGCACAGCTATTGTTAGTAACCATATATTAAGGAGACTCACAAATATAAAATGATATTTGTATCTATTTGGGGAGAGATGATTATATTTCATTAAAAATGCATTAATATGTAATGACTCATCATTATTAGATAATTAAGTAACAAGTATTTCATATATTTCTCCAATCCTAACTTCTTTTTTTTTAAAGGTTTTATTTTTGTTTTATGTGCATGGGTGTTTCTCCTGTACATATGTCTGTGCATCACTTGCACACCTGATGCCCTCAGAGAGGGTCGGATTCCCTGGAAATGGAGTTACAGCCAGTGGTGAGCACCATGTGAGTCAGCGCTGCAACTCAAACCCAGTTCCTCTGGAAGAGCAGCCAGTGTTCTTAACTACTGAGCCAGCTCTCTAGCCTTCCAATTCTAACTCCTAACGTAGTGAACATTGACAGATTTAATCTACATAATCAAAAGCTTCGTGGATCTCAAGAAAAAAAAATAGAGAGAATCATGGAAACAAAGAAAAGCGGGAAATCTGGGATACTAAAAACCCACTACTGTATAACCTCCAACATACCTTGTGTGGTGGTTTGAGTGACAATGGCTCTGGGGAGTGGCACTTTTAGGAGGTGTGGTCTTGTTGGAATAGGTGTGGCCTTGTTGGAGGAAGTGTGTCACTGGGGATGGGCTTTGAGGCTTCAAAAGTTCAAGCCAGGCCCAGTCTTCTTCTCTCTTCCTGCTGCCTACCAATCCAGATGTAGAACTGTCAGCTACCTCTCCAGAACCATGTCTGCCTGTGTGCTGCCATGCTTCCCACCATGGTGATAATGAACCAAACCTCCATAAAAGTAAGCCAGCCCCAATTAAATGCTTTCCTTTTTAAGAGTTGCTGTGGTCCTGGTGTCTCTTCACAGCCATACAATCCTAACTAAGACATCTTTCTTCCCCTTTTTGACCTCAAATGAATGATAATTAAAACTCTTTACATTTATTTTAGTGTGTGTGTGTGTGTGTGTGTGTGTGTGTGTGTGTGTGTGTGTGTGTGCCACCTGCCCCCATTAAAATGTTGGGGAGTAGTCCATGCCACCTCACATCTGAGGAGGTCAGAGCACAACTTTGTGTGGTCAGTTCTTTCTTCCCACCTTTAAGTTGGTTCTGGGGATCAACCTCAGGCAGTCAGTTTTGTCTAGCAAGTGCCTGACCCTCTGGGCACCTCTCTGGCCAGATAACTTAAACATGAACAATGTACACTAGCATTCTCCACAGAACAATGCATTATACTTGTGGACATGCAATCTAAAAGCCTCTACTGTGGCAAAACAACTTCATAATCAGACATCCAATCAAGTGGCAACAGACCAGGGCTACATCAGATCCTAGCATCACTCAGGCTCTCCGCATGTCCAAGGTCTCATTTGTTATGTTTACAGTTGCCATTTTTATAAACTCTTTCAAGCTGGTGTATAAGATGTTGACTAGCATGTGAAATATAGTCAATTTTCTATGTGATTTCCTATTTCAGATTTCGTATAGAGCTCAATCTACACATCCCAAAGCAAAGCAAGACATTGGAATTTTCATTGGCTGGTGTGAAGGAATCAAGCCATTTCTGTTTCAGTCTTTGTGACTTTAAACCAAGTGATGTGATGGCTTCTTACTCCTCTGTCACCTCCATAAACCTTCTGGACACAGAAACTGGAGGGTGAGACCCTCTGTGCATGTCAAGTTCTAGTTTGTTCTTGCTTTTAAAATACTGGTTTTGGCTTTAGGATATGCACATTGTGATATTTATAAATAAGGCTGCTAACTTTTGCTTAGGCATCAAGCAGCAAAAGAGTCCAGGGTTTGGGGCCCTTGGTAAGTACACACAGGTGGCTGGCTCAGAAAGGGGCCATGTGATTAATAGCTTCATAAAGCAGGAAAGTGGCTGACACTCTCAGAACCTCAGTTTTCTTTTTTAAGTAAAGGTTACTTTTATTATTTTTAGTTAACGTGTGTGTGTGTGTGTGTGTGTGTGTGTGTGTGTGTGTGTGTGTTTACCTGTGTAAAAGGGAGGGGAGGGTATGTGCGTGTGAGTGCAGGTGTGTGCACGTGAGAGCAGATGCCTAAGGAAGCCAGAGGCATCAGATTCCCCTGGAGCTGGAGTTGCAGGTAATTGTGAGCTGCCCAAGGTGAATGCTGGGAACTGAACTTAGGTCCTCTAGAGGAGCAGCAAGCTCTCTTAACCACTGAACCGCCTCCTAAGCCCCAGAAAACTCAGTTATCTTAACACGTAATGGATACACACAATGGAGCTACTGACACCTGCCTTGTATAGCTGGTCTGGCAGAGGATTGGACAAATTAGTTAAGTGTCCTAAAAGTGACACTCTGCTTTAAACATGAGATCATTTGACATATCCTTGGACTGCCAATTCATGGCAAAATTTTCTTGAAAGAAATGGTTGCAAATAGTCTTTGGCACAGCTTTTGGCCATATAAAAATAGGATCAAATGCCTCTCCGTGCCAACATGCTCAGTGTGTTGGTGCTTGCCCAAGTTTGCCTCCAGACACAGAACAATCAGGGTTTGCAGGTCCAAGGAGTGCCCTGCCCACGGTTGAGCAGCCGCAGGCCTGTCCATGGACACTGCTGGACCTCTGCCGTCTCTAGTATTTTGAACCCAGTTTAGATTAATTTATTGTCCTTCCGCAACGTGGCCCACAAGTCCATCTTTCCCTTCAGTTAGTCTCTTTCCCAACCCTCTCAAATATAAATACAATATTTCCTACAATTTTTAATAAGGTAATATTTGTCACTATTTATGGGGTGATTCTATATTCTGATAATATGATATGGACTTGGAATGTTAATAAGATTTCTGATGCTGAAGTGTGCTTTGGAAGACCTTCTAGTCATCAGCATGTATAGTTCTGTTCCTAAAAAGTATTATGCTGTTGGAAAAATTACACTAAAAGTGTTATCACTGGTATGTTTTATTGCTCTTCATAATAAAATAAGGACATCTTAGAGTCATGTTTTGAAAAATTCTACAAGTACAGGCTATAATCCTGCCCTGCGTACTGGAGGTCTATTAGGGATTAATTGGAGTTTTCAATTGTGCGTGATATTTACAGAGGATGGGCACAACCTTGTTACTCTTACATATTGTTTGATTTGAATAATTTATCACTTTTAAAAACTACCTAGATATGATTGTAATAACCGGTCCCTAATTTGCTTTTTACATTAGACTGCTTAAAAATTACTGCTTATAAATGTATTTTTAATTTAGAAAAAAAGAAAGAACGTGCTTGTTCGATGGAAATATGAATTTGCAGAAGATGGATAATTCCCTTTCCACAGTTCTGAACACGGTGCTGGGTCTTGGCAAGGGCAGCAGGTTTTCAGACTCCATAGGAATCCCTCTGGGTCCGGACCGGTCGGAGCTGCCCAGCTCCGGCTCCAAGGCGCCAGCTGCCACAGTCAGCCCGAATCCATCCGTCTCCCCACTTTACCTTCCACCTCGGAATCTTCACCAACAGCGACCCAGCCGTTCTACCGACCGGAGGTTCCCAACTTCTAGTGAGGAAGCACTTTCCCAATTCAACAGAATTTGACATCCCCCCCACCCACCCACCTACCCACCCACCGCCACCCAGACTGTCATGGCTCTCTCTTTTTTAAGACTAGAAACCCCAATAGATTCTGGTTGACTTTGCCTGGTGACTGAATATTTTATTAATGACAACATCTGCATACATCTGAACTGGTGCGGCGCGCTAAGGTGTACATACAGATAGATGGCCTTGCACAAGGAACATCCTCAGGTGCTCCGGGTCTCAGCCCAGGGCCACGCGGCTGCCGCTGGAGCCCGAGAGGCCGCAGGTCCAGCCTGCTCACCCAAACGTCCAATTAGGCCGGCTTCCCACGGCCAGTGGGCACATCGCAGGGCACCTGCTGCCCCCTATCGGCCACGCGAACAACAGCCCTACCCCGCCTCGCTCCCGCTGGAAAAGGCCTCTGAAATAAAAGAAGGTTCCACCACCACGCAGTCGCGGGAGGATTCTCGGAAAACCTGCCTTACGTAGACAGCAAGCTCCCGCGGCCTCGTTTTAACGCGGTTGTTCCAAAGGGGAGGGGAGAAGACGTGAGCTCGGGGAGAAGAAAGTGCCACCGCTCCGGTGGGGGGGAGGGGCGAGAGACCCAGAAGGTTCGATTTACGGTTTCCACCCCCCCTGTTCAGTCATCTGGCCAAGGGCTCAGGGGGAGCGCGTGCCTTCCGTGGGGACCAGCACATTCTCTAAGAGCCCAGGGTGTTTTCCCCAGCTCCCAAGCAGCTGCCTCCCCCATTACACCTTGAGCAGAGTCCAGTGACCTGCTCCGGAGGTGACAAAGGCCACCCGCCCCGATAATCCAGCCTCCGAGGCATCCAAAAGTAGGTGTTGTCACTCCAGTGCCTGTAATGCCAATACAGATGCATCTCAGGGAAAAGCTTTAAACCCTGAGCCCAAGCCCCCCCCGGCACCACGGGCGTCTTGCACTGCATGAATTTCTGTCCTAGCATTGAATATTTAAAATTTGCCTCCACTTGGACACAGCCGAGACTGCTGGCGGCTTGAGAGCAGTGCGCGCGCGTGGGGTTACACTCTCGGGTGTTTCTAATTTCGTTTTCATTATTTTCTCCCACTTCATTACCACCCTCCTCCCAGTGCACACGCGCTTGGCCGTATCCTAACTTGTTCGCTCATGTCCATCTCTGCCTTGGAGCTTTTTTGGCAAGAAGGTATGAGGGAGATGGACGGAGGTGAGCGGAAGATGGGAGGGAGGGCGGGGAAGAGGTAGAATCAGCTGGCAGCCCCGAATGTGTTTGTGTACGTAAGGGACGAAGGCGGAGGCTCCCGGGGAGGGGGGCGACAACCGAGAAGCCCCGCACGCGCTCGCAGCGCCAGCCTAGGCGCCCGCAGTGTGTGCGGGTGGCAGCAGCGGGTCCACTGGGACCTTCGAGCTCAGCTGGCTCCGGTCTCCCGCCTCGTCCACGGTAGCTGCAACCGCTGGCCGGGTCCAGGTTCCCGGGCGGTTGCAGGTACCCACGACGCCCATCCCCGGGGGCAGAGAGACCAGGGCCGCACCCAGCTCCGGGAGTTCCCGGTCGCGCGGCCGAGGTTCCCGGGACCCGGGCGGCCACTGATGGGGCGGAAGCACGGGCTGCGGGGAGGAGCTGCCTCGCCCCCGAGCGGGCCGCAGGGCTAGGGAGGCCCCGGAGGCCCGGCCCGGGCTCCGCGCGCTCCCGCTGTGCGCCTTGGCGCGGGCACCCGGAGCCGCCCCCTGCGGGCGGCCACTTCCCGGATGGGGCCGCGCTGTTCTCCTGGACAATCGGGGCTCCTCCCCTCGCCGCGATCTTTCTAGGAGGCCACCTCCGAGGTTCTCAGGCGGCTTCTTCGCCCGTGCTACCCTCGGGCTTCTCTCACTGGAAACCCCGCAGAAGCACAGCCGGAGTGCTTGGCCAGGGACCCCCCCCCCCCCCCCACACACACACACCGCCACCGCAGGAAGCCAATGGGGACGGAAGTTCATTTGTGATAGCCCTGATTCGCGAGCTTCCTAAAAGTTATGTGCTCTGTTTTCAGCCAGACTAGCAACACGGAAAATGTAATTCTGCTTTTTTGTGTTTCAAAATCAATCGTACCGGGTGACTTTCAGAGGAAGCGTGCACCTAGATGAGAGCCATCACCATGCTGCAGGATCGAGCTAAGGCGACTCGGTCCCTTCGTCTCGGCTCACCCACTCTAACGGGAGTGCTATCGTTCAATTATTATTATTTTTTAATTGTTGTGAGCCTGCCGATATAAAAATATTCATACGACAGAGATTGAGAGTGAAATATAAACAGTTCTCTCAAATAAAGCGCTACTTTTCTTGGGTCAGTAATTCCTGGGGTAATAGAGAATTTGAGTTTTTATGAGAACAAAGGAAACTTTGCTCTTTGAAAGAGTTATTATTTAGCAAACAGCTATGGAGAATCTACCTTGTATCACACACACACACCACTCTGTACTGTGAACCATCTGCTTATGGTTCGATATATGGCCATCAGAGCACTCAGTATTTGGAAAGCCTTGATTCATTTTATCCTTCCAGATTCAATAAGAAGTAAATATTGATTTTTTATATAAGATTGAGATGTTGTTGGTTTTATGAGATATGGGAGAGTTGATAATTCACGTTAGTCTGTGTAGCTAATACCACAACAGGGTTTAAGCCAAACAACGTGCCGCAGAGTCCTCAGGCTTACCCACTCATCTCATCTTTGGGCCAAATTTACAAACGTGTACTGAAACCACCTCAGGTGGATGCTATGTAAACCAAAACTCTAGAAGCCTTGATGTAACATTCCCCCATTTTGCTGATCAGAAAACAACCACAACGTGTTATAACCAAAGGCAGACACTTGCACTCTCGTGATATGAAATTAACCAAGGTATCCATTAGAAGAAAATGTATAATAAAATATTACTCAGCCCTTCAAAAAATGGAATCTTACGATTTGCAGCAGCATAGGTGGAACTGAATGCCACTATATGAACTTAGCCAGACACACAGTTGTGGAAACTAAAAAGCTAGTATCTTGGAACGGAGTGAAATAATGTCACCAGAGATAGAAAAGGGCAGATAAGAAGGGCATGGGGAGAAGTGCAAAAATAACCAAAACATAAGTAGGAAGAATTACTTCTGGTTTTCTCTAGCTCAGAAATATAACTCCTGGTTATAAGACTCTATGATGTGATATATTTCAAAATAGCCAGAAGAATGTGAAAGTTCCCAGCTTTCACTCTCTGACATGGTACCATGTGCTGGAAGTATCTGTTGCCTCGATGCATATATGATATCTATGCACTGAATTATCCTATACCCTGAAAGGTGAACAAACATTTGTATCTCAACAAAATTTATAATAATAAGATTATTATTATTATAATAATAGGAGACCCCCAAAAAGGTTGTCTGCCGACACATGATGAGTTGCAGAATGGGGTCTAGAGAGCCTTATGCTTCCTTCCCAATATCCTTCCCACCACATCCAAACCACACTGCCTCGGCCCAGAAGTGAGAGTGTGAATGATTCAGCAATGACAATACATGTACGGCCAGGACTTGATTGTCCTCCCTTTCCCTGCTGAATGCTTGCCTTCTGGATATTTGACTGTTACCAAGTCTCTCTCCCAGAGGGAGAGAGAAACCCAGTAGAACTCAATTATTTCTTTTCTGCTAATGCCAATGAGTAATTCTAACACTAAAAAAGGAGGAGGGAGGAGAATTTGTGGGAGAAATTGCTAGAACTGTTCCTTTAAATAAGACTTCAGATGACCCTGGATTTTAGTTTGGATGGCAGTAATGCCTTCCTCAGCCACAGGAAAGGCTTGGACGTGGAAAATGGATACTGCTCACCAAAATGGCCTTCCAGACTTCCCCTTCCTGTCCATCATGCTAGTGATAATTAAGAAGAAACAGGAGAGATTTGATGAATTATTGTACTTCTGTTTTGGAGGGAGGAAGGGTTACAGCATCAACACCAGAAAGGAGCTGGAGAGGTGAGTCGGTGGTTAAGAGCACGTGTTGGTCTAACAGAAGACCTGGGTTGGGTTCCTAGCACCCACACGGTGGCTCACTACCATCTGTAACTCAAGGTCTAAGAGAGCCAGCATCCTCTTTTGCCCCCTGTGGGCACTGGGCATGCACGTGGTGCACATACATACACGCAGGCAAAGCACTCACACGTAAAATAAAGTAATAACAAGAAATAACTGGATAGGCATCGTCCCCTTTTCGGCCCCAGGCACTGAGCACTAATCATTGGAGAAAGTTAACCTGCTTAAAACATTTCTACTTCTCCTTAGTTTTTCTCTTAACTTTCCCTTGGATATAAAGTCGTTGACAGTCTGTGCAAAAACCAGGAGGAATTCTGCCTTATCTCAACAACTATCATGTCATTTTCTTTCTTAAAAACATTTGCATGGCCAGGCGGTGGTGGTGGTGGTGGTGGTGGTGGTGGTGGTGGTGGTGGTGGTGGTGGTGCATGCCTTTAATCCCACAATTTAGGAGTCAGAGGCAGGCAGATCTCTAAATTCGAGGGCAGCCTGGTCTACAGAGTAAGTTCCCGGACAGCCAGGAGTATACGGTGTAAACCTGTCTCAGAAAAACAAACAACAAACAAATTAAATATATAAATAAAACCGTGTGCTGATTCTGCATCCATCTGCTCTACAGGATAGACTCTACCTCACACGATGAAAGAGAAATTATTCATGCTACAGCTCTCATGGTTCAGCACCCTCTCCCTGAAATTCTGAGGAACACGAAACAAGCTGCAGACATCCTCTGGAGAATGAACACTGCCCTCTGTTCAGTGTTCCCTGCGTGACTCTCCTCTGCCTGGTGTTGGTCAGTGCCTGTTGGGTACACTCAGCCCATGAATTCTTTTCTGAACCTGGCCTACATCCCTAAGAGTGATTTGTTCTCTCTTGGGAGCAGAACACTTCTGTTCATCATACAGCCTCCATTCATAGCTCCGAGTCTGCCATTGCTGCCAGCACCCCCACCCCCACCATCACCACCACCATCATCCTTTTCTTCTTTCTGTTATAATAGTCTTCCCTGGGAACAGAAACATCAATTCTCTTACATTAGGAAAAAGGCTGAACTTATCAGCTGTTGTTTACGACTTCAAATAATGCACTTAGTAAGTTTAAAGCAATAGACCTATTTATATAGACTATAGAAAGTCCATACAAGTTTTGGAAACAGGAAAAGTGTATATTCATTATATTTTTTCATGTTATTCCAAGACTTTAAACTACAGCCATTTTACCTGAAAAGTTTTCTGGAGATCAACAAAAAACATACTGAGAATATTATTTGAAAATAAGACTGAAATATTCTGTAACCATGAAAACATCCTGTTTCCTTATTTTCAAAAGGACACCCTGTAACCCTAGCCCCAAGCACTCTGTCCTCATGCCTGACTCGTAACTTAGTGTGTGTTGAGTTGTTGTAAACACCCGTGGTTCCAGGAACTTCCGGTTCTAGCTCACTCCTAGCCCAGCTTCTGTTTGGTGAGCTCCTACCAGCTTCATTCACTCTGTCCATGATACCCATCTACATGTCTTGGCCCTCCATTCTTTCTGACGCTTTTGATAAATTACAGTGACTTGTACTTTGGGCATCTTACTTAATGAAGTTGTCTACAAATTTTTCCCTACTGGTGACTTTAAAGTTCTCAAGGAATGGAAGTCACTCACAAACCACCAGAACAGATAAGGCTCCAGAATAATTATTCACTTATTCAACGCTAAATAAACAAATAAACAATTTTTTTAAGAATTCCATCTACATTACCTGTGAGGCTGAGCCAGGAACGGCCTCCCAGACTGACATAAGAGTTCTGTTTCAGCCAACATCTTCAATTAAAATTGTCACAGAATTTCTAACTGCCAGAAGTTTAGGAGTAGACAAATGTGTTTCCCCCATCAAGGACCGTGAGAGTGGGCCACAACTAGGCAAAAACAGTGGTTGTAGCATGGATACATCTTACGTGTCAGGTTAGTTCTTAAGTAAAGAATGTGTATAGTCCCACAGAGTATATGTATACTTACATTTATAAGTAAAGTATTTAATAGCACCTCTGGGGGCCTTCTCAGTCACATCAGCAAACTGGTCTCATGTAATAAAAGCTCTCTCTCTCTCTCTCTCTCTCTGTCTCATAGCCTTCAGCATAACAATGCTGCGTGTATCACACATGCTAATTTAGACATACAGCAATGAATGCACTCATGAGTTCAGAGAGAAGCCTGAGAACTGTAAGAAGAGCATTTCTTTACACATCACATTCTCTGCACATCACAAGGGGGAAGAATTGAGAGCCTGAGACTCTGTAGGCCTAAGAAAAGTCTTGTGAAAATTAATGAAGTCTATTTCAGAAGAGAGAGTATTTTCAACAACAAAAGCATTTAGGGAACTCCTGACTCAAGAATGTATTTCTTAGATTACAGATTGAAAAATAAGGGTTATCAAAAAATAATAATAACAACCTAGATAGGAAGCCATCAAAGAGAACATTTAAAAATTGTGATAAGGATGCTGAAGTGTAGCTCTCCACAGTAGAGAGCTGCAGGCAGTGGGGGTGGGGGAGGTCTCACTTTCTTTCAGGGGCTGGCTACTGGAAGTATTGAGAGTTTGACCATGTTCCAGCGACTACATGGACATTACAAATTGGTCTTCTTTATTTAATCTTTTTTTTGGGGAGGAGACCACAAGGGCAGAGGGACAGACCTGGGAGGACTGGGAAGTAAGAGTGATCGGGGTACATTATGTGAAATTCCCAAATAATCAATTTAAAAAAAGAAAAAGAAGGGTTATAAAATTCTCATTCTTTTAGAATCAGAGTTTGGGATTATTTTTTTTTTAATGAGTTCAATGTTTCTCTCTCAAACCATGTCTCAGTTTGCAACGCAATAAAAAAAAATGGCAATCATTTGAGTAGTTCAGGCCTTTGAATAAGCTGATTCTCTTTGGCGTTGCATCAGCTTCAACTAGAAGACGTAACACAATACTTTGGAGCTATCTGAAGCTAGATGTTCAGATTCAAACCCCGATTTGCCCGTGTGCCAGCTTCACGACTGGCCATTGCTTCTTTCCTGATTTGGCTAACTGCTCTGGGGGTGGGGGTGGGGTACCCTTCTATTGCTCTACCACTGGGGAGGTGCCTTTCACTGAGCTTGAAACTGTACGGGCCTCTTAAATATGTTTCTGATGGAGGTGACACAATTTTCAAGTGAGATAAATATCCCTTGAAATATAATAAATACCTAAGTGGATGCTTAGACTTTTCTGAATTAGACACCAAGAAATCATTTCCTCGTCTGTCTCTGTAGCTTGTCCTGCCAGTGCCCGTGATCAGTCAGATGAGTTCCAATCCTGCTCTGGCTGCCAGTTCCCCTCTGCTCCTAAAGAATGAAGGGCAGCAGCAAACAGGATTGCCAGCTACGCTGCTGGTTTTCCTCTTCCCACGGCTACGCACTCACCTTCACTAATTTATTTTTCTAGATTCATGCGCAACATTTATGAGAGCCTTTCTGAGAAAAGTGGGGCGATGTGGGCCAAAGGCTACGAAGATCCAGTTACATAGGATGGTCAGATCCAGAGACATAAATTGCAACCAAAGCTAATCATTTAATCAATGATAATATATTATAAAAGGAGAGTAGATGGTAGACCCTTTTAGGGCACGCCCACTGTCTTATCTGTGTGCTCTGATTAGTCTATCCATTGACTCTGCTGATGTCATCATTTCACTGTATATATCTAGCATCATAGCTACATACCTAAAATATGTGCCATAAAAAAAAAATTGGCCATGTGGTTGTGGCGCACGCCTTTAATCCCAGCATTCGGGAGGCAGAGGCAGGTGAAGCTCTGAGTTTGAGGCCAGCCTGGTCTACAGAGTGAGTCCAGAACAGCCAGGACTACACAGAGAAACCCTATCTTGGAAAAAAAAAGTAAGTAAAATTGTAAGTTCTATAGCCATTTATCCAAATATTTACAAGTTTATACACAAGGCAGGTAAGGCAACTGAGAAACAAAATGGTTTCTTTTCTTACATCTTCACATCTGGTTACGGAACCATTTTTTTTTTCCTAAACAAAGATGCCATGAGCCCTTAATTCTCACTTGTGCCACAAAAACTGGGAGAGAGATGAAAACATATTTATGCATAGACATAGATATGAATCAGTCAACAGTGTGCCTCATGACTCAAAACAACACCCATTTCTTCCACATAAGTTCTCTTAAATAAGACTTGTCTGTGTCATTTCTCACTTCTACCTTCCCAAGTAAGTTGATTAGTGACTAAGATGGTACGCTTTCGTCATACATACCCTCTTTTATCCCATCTAACTATTGCAGCAAACAGAGGGAAAATACTGTAAAATAAAAAGTTTTTTTTTTTTTTAAGAGACAGGGTTTCTCTGTGTAGTTTTGCTCCTTTCCTGGAACTCACTTTGTAGACCAGGCTGACCTCGAACTCACAGAGATCTGCCTGCCTCTGCCTCCCAAGTGCTGGGATTAAAGGCGTGTGTGCGCTGCTGCTGCTGCTGCTGCTGCTGCCGCTGCCGCTGCCGCTGCCGCTGCCGCTGCCGCTGCCGCTGCCGCTGCCGCTGCCGCTGCCGCTGCCGCTGCCGCCGCCGCCGCCGCCGCCCGGCTAAAAAGTATTTCTAAAACTAAGTTTTTGTTGGCATTGCAGCTAAATGATTACATAAAATTTGTACTTAAAATTAAGTTCTATACTTATTTGTAAAACCTATGAAGTCTCCAGGCAGTGGTGGCGCACGCCTTTCTAAGTACTCGGGAGGCAGAGTCAGGTGGATCTCTGTGAGTTCGAGATCAGCCTCATCTACAGAGCTAGTTCCAGGACAGCTAGGGCTGTTACACAGAGAAACCCTGTCTCGAATGCCCCTCCCCCCCAAAAAAAAACCTATGAAGTCAATGCCCATGTGATCATGCCTTTAATCTCAGCACTTGGGAGGCAGAGGGAGAGGCAGGCAGATCTTTGTGAGTTCTAGGCTGGCCTGTCTACATAGTGAGTTTCAGGACAGCCAAGGCTATGTAGAGAGACCCTGACTCAAAAAAAGAAAAAAGAAAGGGAGAAAGAAAGAAAGAAAGAAAGAAAGAAAGAAAGAAAGAAAGAAAGAAAAGAAAGGAAGGAAGGGAGAGAGAGAGAGATAAAGAAAGAAAGAAAGAAAGAAAGAAAGAAAGAAAGAAAGAAAGAAAGAAAGAAAGAAAGAAAGAAAGAAAGAAAGAAAGAAAGAAAGAAAGAAAGAAAGAAAGAAAAAGAAAGAACCTATGACATCATAATTATCCTGAGCAAGTTACTGAATTGAGTACCTTTTTCAGAGGTAAAGGAACAGGCTGGAGGTGATTCTGGATCCCTCTGCCATGTGGAGGATAAGGCTGGCAGCTCTCACCTCTGCAAATGAGAATGATGTTCTCTGGAGGTTTCCTGAAAAGGCTGACCGGTGAGTAAGGTTCAGTTACAGGGTTGCAGAGGTGCGCGGGGGTTCATAATTACGAGTGTCTGAGTGGGCATGGGAGAGATTCCTCGGTGCCTAATGTTCGAGAACACTAGAATACACCCCCTGGAATTATTGATGCCTCTTCAGTTTTATGATTGTATTTCCCTGATTAACTTGGTAAATTAAACTGTTCTTAAGTGGACAGAATAAAAGATGGGTACATGTCTACATGAGGGTATTACAGATGACAAAAGAAGACGTTTCGTGATACACTGTGCCCATTAGAGGCTTTCACGGGGTACTTCAGGAGAAGCCGCACAGGAGAAAGGGGCTGGTGGGCAGGCAATCCCTCACAGCATCACCGCGATGCCAGCTCACTCGTAACTTCCTTTTCCTTCCACTCTGCACTGAAGAAGAGAGGGCCTAATCTCTCGCCTTTTCATTGTTCCCTCCTCCCCGCTGTCAGGAAGAAGAAACAAGTTTGTGGGCAAGAGTTCTGTGTGGAGCTCTCCTGCTGAACTCAGCCGGGTGGCCAGAGACTGGAAAAATGGGGAGGGCTTGATGAGTGACTGGCTTAGAACACTGTGTCCCTTGCCTCAGCTCAATGGCTCCAAACTTTAACCACAGGTGTGCAAATCTGATTGTAAATCATAAATTTTGGAACATATCCCTCTGAAGAATATGCAAACTTTGAGTTTCACTTATTCTCCGTTGAAGTTCCTGTTCAGAATGCTGATTAATCGGATACTCTGTTTTTTGCCGACTTTCCCTGGAGAATATGAATTAATAGACAATAAATTTAATACTGCTAATTTTTTTTAACAATTAAATATTAGTAGATGACAGCTGCCTTCTGTTCTAATCGTGGATTCCTTTAACACCCACGATCCGAGAGGCCCTGTTGTAGGGTCTACAGTACCACAGTGAATAAAACTGACCAGCAGCCTAGAAGTGGTCTGCAGTGAGCCAGGTGGTCACAAGTGCCGTGGACAAAAATAACACAGAGAAAGGCAACCGGGTGGAGCTTATGGTTTGTTAAAGAAGGCTCCCTAAGTGGGTAACCTTTAACCAATGGCCTGAAGGAGAGGGAAGGAGCCAGCTGTGGACTTCACGGAGCAGGAACAGATCCGGCGAGATAGACAGCTTGTGAGGATAGTGTGTGCCTAATAAACACAGAAAGAGCAGGGAGACCAGGTGGCTGAGAAACGCAGGAGTAGGAGAGCAGCTGAAGATGGGGTCAGAGGTGCTGGGTGGACAGCAAGGCAGGCAGGCGCCTTGCACCTGGAGGCCACTGAGGGAGCTTGACCTTTGGTCGGAGCGAGGTAGAAGAGTTACAAGCGGACGTGGCTGAGCCGGCTTGGGTTTTATCACTATCGCTCTACGTGCTGTGTTAGACAAAAAGGGGAGAGGGACAGGGCGGATGCAGAGACAGGACACACTGCAGTGATCAAGGTGAGGGGTGATGCGCATATGGCAGCGGTGTGGGGGAGAAGTGACCCGTGAGTCCTGAGAGCAGAGCAAACAGCATTTGCTGGTCGCTTGGATGTGGCGACTGAAAGAATGAGCGGAGTTTAAACAGAGGCAAATTGAGTCACTAAGGTTCGGGATCTGAGCAACCACAAGATCAGCGTTGCCACCATCCGAGCTGGGGAAGATGGCCTGCAGGGGAAAGTCAGCATTTTAAGTTCAAAACACCCTGATAGATCAAGTAAAAATACAGAATAGGCAATTGGAAACATGAGTCTAGTGTTCTGGGGAAAGTCTAAATTTGAGTTATATATTTGAGGACTCATCTAAAGCCCTGGGAATGAATACAAAGTTGCTATCAAGGTGCATAGCAGCCGAGTGGTAGTGGTGCATGCTTTTAATCCCAGCACTTGGGAGGCAGATGGATCTCTATGAGTTCAAGGCCAACCTGGTCTACAGAGTGAGTTCCAGGACAGCTAGGGCTACATAGAGAAACCCTGTCTCAAAAAAACAAGAAAAAAAAAGCATAGCAGTCAATGTAATAATGGTCCTCACCAATCAAGGTGTGGGGGTACAATTCTGAAAGGTTAGGTGTTAAATCCCTTTCTAGAAATGGGATCATAGGAAGGTCTGAGGGACCCAGAATGAGTCTAGAATGTAGCAGGCCATGAAAGGCACAGGGCGGGAAAGTGAAGAGTGTCTCAGAACCTAGGGAGAGGCATTTTGATGTTTCATGGAGCAGTACAGCACACCAGCATGCAGCAGTTGGAAACTGACCTCACAGGAAGGTGGAGAGGAAGACAGACAAGGACATCAGGTAGAACACAGTTTTGGAATAAGGCCATCCATTCACAGGGTCCCAACATACAGAAATAATAAGTGTTTGGGAAAATGGAAATACTCATTGCTCTGATTTGGTCTTGTACACTGTGTACCAGGTCCTGAATTGTCGTAGTAAAATCCATACACATGAACAAATGGTATGTGCCAACTAAAATTTAAAAATAATGCTGGAGGAAATTATGTCAAAACATGGGGAGCGAGAGGGGACTGAAACTAGAATAAGATGAGATCAGAGGACTACACATGGGCAGATCAGGATTTGAGGCTGTGGAGAAGGGGGTGTCAGTAGTGGAGAACAGTAAGGAGGCGGCAACGAAGCAGATGAAGCGCTAGGACAGTGCGGTACCCTCGAAGCACCGGGACTGTGGGGCCCAGGTTGCAGTTTGTCCATCTACTTTCATCACTGACAAAAGAGCCAACATAGCATCTTCAGAAAGCAACAGATTGGTTTGGGGCTCTCAGCTTCAGGAGTTTGAGTCCACTGTGGTGGAAAAGGACTGAAAGGAGATTAAGTCACACCATGGTGGCCAGAAGTAGAGGGGATGCCCATGGTAGAAGGCTCCCTCTCTGTGGGGTGGTACCACCCACACAAAGATGTGATTTCCCCTCTAGTGAACCCTGTGTGAAAACATCCTCAGACATACACACACACAAGCAAACTATACTCACCTAGGCACTTCTCTATCTAACCAAGTTGTCAATCAAGGTTAATTATTGAGCGCCGAATGTGCCGGGACCAACCTGGAATCCCGGCATATCTGATTGATGAGCACTGGCCGTCGGAACTGGTGTCACAGAAGTCACTGAGTACTGAGCAGTTTCAGTACAACTGCAACTGAGACCGCCGCAGCATGAAAGCCTGAGAAAGCGGGAAAGAGGAAAAGAGTGGTTGATGACTGTAAATCTATGCAAATATCTGAAGTAGTTTTGCTGTTTAAAAACCAAGGCAGGAAAGTGATGGGGAGTGGGTGGCTGGAAGGAAAGGCATGTGAAAACCGGGTTAGGTTAGGTGGGGAAGAGTACCGTCGTTTTTACAGAGTGGGGATGACCAAAGGAAAGAAAGAAAGTAAGGCTGAGGGAGCAGAGAGACCTCAGTGACAAAGGCTGCATTTTGATTGGTTTATTGCAGAGCCGCCTCCTGCCTCATCCTTCATTAAATTAAAAAATGTTTTGAATGAATTTCATCCCTGTGATGGAATTCTCTACATGTGTTAACATTGTATGTTAAAACATTTTCTTTATTCATATACCTATTTCATCTATTTATTCTACTTCCCGGGGGTCCCGAAACATATCACAGACACCTTTGCCATGCCCCAGGAATTGTCAAGCGGGAGGGGAAAGGGTGGGTTAGTGTGGAAGCTGAGAGTGGTCCTAGATGGAGGGCCTGGCTGCTCATCCAGGATCGGGAGGACAGAGGACCGGGACATGGGTGATAGGTGAGTAAGCAGACTTGGGGATGGGAGCTGTGTTGGGGTGTAAAGTGGCGGGGGGTTTCCACTACTTGGTTTTATTTTCTCAGTTGTAAACTCAGTCATTAGCCAAGGAGGAGGCTCAAAGAGAGTGTTTGCAGCAGCCACCTGACAATGTGGGAGAGTGAATGGGCTTAGGAGGGTCCCACACCCCCGAAGCACTTGAGAATACCTGGAGAGCTGCTGAGTTTCTCCAGCATTATTAGGCTGCCTCACTGTAAGAACAGAGCAGGAGAACAGGATTCAAGACTCTCAAATGGAACCTGAGAAGTCGGGATGGCAAAGAAGAGGTACAGGGCACTAGCGGTGTGTGCAAAAATGACCAGGCAATCTAAGATGAGTCAAGACAGAAGTGAGGATAGGAAGGGACACAATGTGGTTCTTGGTAGGTCCAAAATAGCCAGAGTTAAAGTGCAGATCTGACTTAGAAAGACAGCAAGTGATGGTGTGAGAATCCGATGCTTGAAACCGAGGTAACAGGGAGATGTGCGCTTAACTATTCATAAGAACGCCTACATGGAGCATGTGAATATTGTATTTGCTGTGCACAAATCAAATGGCACTCTACATTTCACATGCCCTCCAAAGGTGGTCACGGGTAAGAATTTTATATACATCACATGTATGTACACACTCAGGGAGCTCTAGTGTTGGCCTATTTAGTTTATACATAAATGGAATCATGTTAAGCATATGCCTTGACCTTGGTTTTTGTTTTGTTTTGTTTTGTTTTGTTAATTCTGGAGGATTTTTTTTTATCATGGTTTATGTAGATCTATTTCACTTATAATGGATTTCTTTTTTCTTTTCTTCTTTTTTTAAACATACCTTCCAACTTCTACTTGAACTGTCTCAGGAATATTCTAGATGTGTTTACAATGGTGGTTGTAACAAGAAACTAAAGGAGTTTAGGGTCTGGGTCGCTCACCTTTACAGACCTCATCTAGTGCCTCTGGGTGGGTGAACAGCCGGTTTGTGTGGCTTTAGTCTTTGTAAAGGTTACAAGGGAAAGAAAGATACTTCAAATGTGAAGATCAAGACTCCTTCCAGATCTCCTCCACAGCCCTTCTCAGTATTGAATGTTGTTGAAGAGGTTATGAGTACCCAGAAATAAACACTGACTTCTAACTAAGTTCTTCTGAAAAAACACGTTTTTGAAGCTAATTTTTCTTCAAATGGGCTTCATAGTTGAATAACCTTTGAGACCAACAGAACATGGATCTGCCTCTCCAGGTTTAAGAACTGTCTCTTAGTAGTCTACACCCTCCAGGGTGTCTAGGTTGCAACTCACTGCCAACTGACAACCCCAAATGTCTATCGCTGAACCTTACAGCAAAGATCTCCTCCCTTCCTTACCCTTCTCCACCTCCCCTGCCCAAAAACTAAGTCTACCACGGCCAGGGAACTTGCAGTTTCTAGCGTGCGTGCGTGCTCTGAAACTTTACAGTCAAATTTTGGCTGTGGCAATTCTGTATACCAATTAGTATAAAGCTACTGAATCTTAAGCTGATTTTTAAATGATCATAAAAGTACACCAGTCACTTTAATTGTTTTCCAATTGTTTAATTTGAGATATTTGTTTTCTATAAAATTTTTTTGCCTTTATCTGAGAATTAAACCAGAGAATCATTAACTCAAAGTTTCAGATATAGGAGGTAATTTAGAGATCGCTTAATCCCACAGTTTGATTTTATTGCTTTGTAAGATGAGGCATGAAATGGAGAAGGATAAGCACTTGTTATGGAAGGGGCAGTCCAATGTTAAGTGTTAGGTGAAGAGATCAAGTGAGGCAGGTCTCAGATCTGGAATAGGAGGCAGCTGACCACAGAGTGTTGTAAATATTAACACAGTTTGTCTCACTAACAGACACTAATGACTGTAATAAATTAAGGACAGTTTAGTTAAGCAATAAACAATTACAGTTGACACAGGGTATAAACTTGATGCCCTAATTAATGTACCGACCAAGAGGTCTTTGTAGGCTAAGAATGCTGGTCCTAATTTACCCATAAAATATAGAT